ATAATTCTATTGTCTAAATATTGTATAACATGTATTTACATATAACATCCCTTTGTGTTTTATAACATATAACTGGTATTCATTTATACCATTCCATTTTCATTTACATCTTATAACTGGTATTGATATATACCATTTCCTTTGCATATTTAACATATAACTGGTATTTTTATATACCAATCACTTGTCCTATATATCATATAACTGCTATCTATATATACCATTCCCTTGTCATATATAACATATAACTAGTATCTATATATACCATTCCCTTGTCCTATATATCATATGGTATCTATCTATATATACCATTCCCTTGTCATATATAACATATAACTAGTATCTATATATACCATTCCCTTGTCCTATATATCATATGGTATCTATATATATATACCATTCCCCTGTCCTATATAACATATAACTGGTATCTATATATACCATTCCCTTGTCCTATATATCATATGGTATCTATATATACCATTTCCTTGTCATATATAACATATAACTGGTACCATTTCCTTGTATCATATATCATATAACTATTTAAGCATGTATATACCATTCTCTTTGTGTTTTTTTTCATGTATGATAGTATCCATTTATATATTACATTTTGTTCAATGATAATAAAAACAAGTTCAACCCCTAACTCTTGTCAAATTCTGGATTATTATAATCTGTCTTTCCATTTTTACCATAAAAAGTAAATGTGCTTAGAAATGGGCTTATTAATTATTAATAAAGTTTATTTTACTTTTTCAACCTATTAACTGACATCATCCTCCTTTCTGACTTTGTACTTTCAATATTTGTTTTATAATATATAATTCATTTAATTTACTTATTCATTGATTTATTTACTTGTTTATTTACAAATCTATTATGCATTTATAATAAGAACATTACTTTTTTTCAAATCAGTTTTTTTTCACAAACTATTCCTGATCTTTACAAAAGAACCTTTACCTTTATTAAGATCAATATATCTATTATATTTCACTGCATTTTTTTAATTGATTTATTTATTTATAAACACAAATTGAATATTACTGTCTTCAATTTCAATATTATAAATACATTTTGTTACATTGACAAGACATCAATATTTAATTTTAAATTGTTTTTAAATTGTTATCATAATGCATTAAATTCATCCTCTTGCTCCATGTGCTCCATGTGTTATCATAATACATTAAATTCATCCTCTTGCTTCATGTGCTCCATGTGTTATCATAATGCATTAAATTCATCCTCTTGCTCCATGTGCTCCATGTGTTATCATAATACATTAAATTCATCCTCTTGCTTCATGTGCTCCATGTGTTATCATAATGCATTAAATTCATCCTCTTGCTTCATGTGCTCCATGTGTTATCATAATGCATTAAATTCATCCTCTTGCTTCATGTGCTCCATGTGTTATCATAATGCATTAAATTCATCCTCTTGCTTCATGTGCTCCATGTGTTATCATAATGCATTATATTCATCCTCTTGCTTCATGTGCTCCATGTGTTATCATAATGCATTAAATTCATCCTCTTGCTCCATGTGCTCCATGTGTTATTATCATGCATTAAATTCATCCTCTTGCTTCATGTGCTCCATGTGTTATCATAATGCATTAAATTCACCCTCTTGCTTCATGTGCTCCATGTGTTATCATAATGCATTAAATTCATCCTCTTGCTTCACAATAATATGTTAATTACTTGTCATAAGTATCACTTTTTTCAAGAAAAAAATAAAAAATTAATTTATTGTAAATTTTCACATAAAATAATTCAGTTCAAACACTATGTTAACTGCATGTATTTTATCTCACTATGTTAAAAATTCAAAGCATTATTTTTGTTGAAAAGGTAGAAAAACAAAAATTAGTGTTCAAACACTATGTAACTACATGGATACTCTAAATATCACTTTTTTGTTGAAAATTCAAACCAATAATCCTCATCACGTTTAACATGAAATAACTGATCCTGATGCTTTTTACATTACTGTATAAATCATTTCCCTCCCTCCTCTAATACTTGTGATGTCAATAATTTAACCTATCAGGCATTAAACTCCTCCACACATCTGCTGTTTATGTAACACCCACCTACACACACCATCTAAGTGTATGAGGGAATATGAGGAAAAGACTATCAAAAAAAAACTTTCTGCCATGTTGTCAAACTTCCATTATGGACCCTATAAAGCTTAATGTTTTTAAAAACTCTTCCCATCTCTAAAGGTAACTTATTATATTGTCAGTTAAACGTAACAATAGTGGAACTCAAGCCTTACTGAGATTGGGTGTAACAATGGAATACTGGTGGACAAGTCTCTTAGTTTATGTTGGTATGAATAATTCGAGATTTATTTGTCAGAATTTCCATACAATTTTTAAGTTTCTTTTAATTTTTTAAGATTTTCTAATAATATCAAATATTTTGTCACAATTACTATCTTTCAATTCAGTAAATTTAAATATTTCAAGGTTTGTAGTATCAACATCTATCACACTAACAGCATTACTCAAACAAAGGTACTGAAGTTGTTGTTGTTTTGATAAATTTACATCATGCTGCTCCCTACACTCACATTCAACATGATAAAGATGTATTTGTTCAAGATGATTGGTTCTCTCAAGAAAATTACAAAATGTAGTAGTATCATCATGACTCATTGTTATACGACTCATACTTATTGCTATACCACCCATACTTATTGCTACAAGATTGATCATACTAGGTAGGTTACTAACAACTGTTTTATACACTGGGTAATACTTGTCATTGTAATAGACATCAAGAGACAGAGATTTTAATGTTGAAGTATTTACTTTAATTGTCTCAGAGATACAATTGTTCATCTCATCAATCATCTGTTTATTACTCTGTGTACTATGACTGTGTGTACTGAATAACCCTCCAGAAAATTCAGGTTGATATGATATTGCAAATTTTTTCAAGATGATGAAACATTGGTAAATATTTTGTAAATTTAACATTTTCTTTTGTAAATTTAACATTTTCTGTGTTGATGCCAAATACCTTAATAGACAGAACAGAGTCAGGAACAATTTGATGCTGATCAATACCTGAACAAACAATATCACAATCCACACTATCATGAATGACCAAATCTCCTATATAAAATACAGGATTACTTTCTATACTACATGATGCATTTAATTCTTCCATTGAGTCAAACATAAGCTTTAGAATATCAGTAATACAACGATGATCCCTATAAATGCTACTACTTATTGTTCTCCTGTATTCCTTAACACGAGAGTCTTTTGACACAGTATCATATATGTATTTTGAAACATGTGTTGCTAATCTAGGTTCAAGACCAGATAGCATAATGATAACATTTGATTGCTCTAATATGTCATTTACTGTTGAACAGTTCTGAAAAACCTCACAAATAAACTTTTTGACTAATTCAACATTTCCTGTACTATTTGATGAACACATTTTTGCATTGAAATTTATACCAATATTTACTGCAGCCAGAAATTCTTGCATTGATTTGTGAATAAAAGAGAACAATGAGCTTGGTGGTTCTGATACAGATAAACTTGGACATTCATCTTCTGTAATTATTCCAAGTTTCAAGCAATTTTCTCTTACTTCATCTGATATTTCTAGTTCATCAAACATACAAATGTCAAATGTCAAGGATTTATCCTTTGGACAATTAAATAGTGTCTCATAAGCCAAACTGTGACACTTCATAAATGAAATGGCAATTTAATCTTAATTTGGTTTTATCGGCTAAATATTTAGGAAGATCTACTTTCTGGGTCCCCTTTCATGAGTCGAGTACTTGTTCCTGTAGTTTTCATGTCATTCCATGTAAAAAGAATAATTCTAACATACCGCGGTGAGATGGCACATCTTGATGTTTTTATCAAGTTTACCATCAAACCATAGACATATCAGTTGTTGTAGCATAATTGGTACCTGTTTTAAACTTTCCAGAGACTCTTCTTCTAGCTTTTCCCTACAATCTCTTGCTTCTTTATTAGCATGTCTATTTACATTTAATTGTGAGACTGTCCTATTTACCATTTTCCCTTTCACATTCTAAAATCAAACCTTTCAGATTCAGCGACTGTTCTTCTCTCAACATCACTTTTTCTTAATGTATGAAATTTCCATGGCCGAGAAGTAGTTTACTATTGTGTACTCCTTAAAGATACTATGTTCTGGACATTTTTCAAGAGGGACCATTCATCTAAGCCATCAAGCAAAATCATAACCCTAGAGGATTCCTCTTCAAGAAGTGTGTTTTAACATTTTCATTTGATAACGTTTTTAGAAGCATCTTTCATCAATGCCAATGTTTTGATTATACTGTCTAAGAGGGATGTAAAATACAAAATCAAATTTCTTCATCTCTTTTACACCATTGAATTTCAGTTCATAACTTTGCTATCATATTCAGAGTCATAAATGTTAAATTTTAAAGCCCGTTAAGATCTCATCCAGAAGTCAATCATTGTGAGATTCGGAGCGTATTAAAACCATCACTGTTATCCTGAATGTCATCACTGTCACTTCCATTTTTCTTAATGCCACCCAAATGTTTTTCATCTCCTCGTTTCTCAATAACAACTCCATGTGTCTTACTGCCCTCTTCGTTTTCAATGTCTCCACTATGTGTCCCCTTTACCTCTTCATTTACAATGTCAATTCCCTTTTTTTCATGTTCTTCATTATCACCTCCTGGTTCCTCACTGCCACCTCTATGTTTTGCACTGTCGCCTTCAGGTTTACCACTGCCATCATCATTTTCATTGCCAGCCCCATGTTTTTCTACGTCACAGTCAGGTTCACCAGTGCCATCTTTGTCTTCATTGCCAGCTTCATGTTCCTCACTGTGTGCCAAACACCAACAATTAACCAGATATTTACAAAAAACTTGTTTTTCCTGACCCTGCATCTCCTAGAAACATATACAGATTTTTGGGGGACTCCGTTCTTTGTGAAGATTTCTGACATTGTTTTTAAACCTCCACCTCCTTTGTTTCACCCTTTTCTCGTTTTATTTCCCTCGTTATTGTGGGTCTAATATAAATCTCACTAAAGCTACATTTTTCACTTTTTGGTTGCAAAGGTGTTGTAGGAACTTGCAGCAGGGTTTTTTGATACTGTTCTATCAGCTTTTCCCGCCATTCTGTAATTTAAATGATTATATGACATCAAATGATTCTTAAGAACAAATCAATGAGTAAATGATACAGAAAATGAGTATAGGCCTGGACAGATTATCACAGACATATAGAAAATGTGTAGAACACATCACAGGGGGCCTCATTGAAATGTAACACAAATCAGTAAATCAGCAAATATTGAACAGACTGAAGCTAGTTAATGACAACAATCAAAAAATTAAGCCTTTTCATATTCTATACAACATACCTGATTTAGCCTTTCACATTCTATGTAATATACCAGATCTCGCCTTTTCATATTCTATATACCATACATGATTTAGCCTTTTCATAGATTATATTACATGCCTGATTTAGCCTTTTCTTATTCTATACAAAATACCTGATTAAGCCTTTTCTCATTCTATACAAAATATCTGATTTAGCCTTTTCATATTCTATACAATATACCTGATTTAGCCTTTAACATTCTATGTAACATACCAGATCTCGCCTTTTCATATTCTATATACCATACATGATTTAGCCTTTTCATATTCTATAAAAATACCTGATTTAGCCTTTTCATATTCTATATAACATACCTGATTTAGCCTTTTCATAGATTAAATAACATACCTGATTTAGCCTTTACATATTCTATATTACATACCTAATATAACCTTTTAATATTCTATATAACATACCTGATTTAGCCTTTTCATATTCTATTTAACATACAAGATTTAGCCTCTTCAATTTCTACACAACAAACCTGATATAGCCTTTTAAAATCTCTATATATTATACCTGATTTAGCCATTTCATTTTCTATATAACATACCTGATTTAGCCTTACATATTTTATATAACATACCTGATTAGACCTTTTCATATTCTATATAACATACCTGATTTAGCCTTACTTATTCTATATAACATACCTGATTTAGCCTTTACTTATTCAATACAAAATATCTGATACAGTCTTTTCAAATTTAAATCACATACCTGATTTAGCTTTTTCGTATTTTAATCACATACTTCATATAGGCTTTACATATTCCATAAAACATACCCAATATAACCTTTTCATATTCTATATAACATACCTGATTTGGCCTTTTCATATCCTATATAACATACCTGATTTCGCCTTTTCTTTTTCTATTCAAAATATCTGATTTAGCATTTTCATATTTAAATCACATACCTTATTTAGCTTTTACATATTCTATAAAACATACCCAATATAACCTTTTCATATTCTATATAACATACCTGATTTAGCCTTTTCATTTTCTATATAATAAACCTGATTTGGCCTTTCCATATCCTATATAACATACCTAATTTCGCCTTTTCATATTCTATATAACATACCTGATTTAGCCTTTTCATATTTCAATCACATACCTGATTTAGCCTTTTCATATTCTATGTAACATACATGATTTAGCATTTACATATTCTATATAACATACCCGATATAACCTTTTCATAATCTATATAACATGCCTGATTTAGCCTTTTCTTATTGTACACAAAATATCTGATACAGCCTTTTCATATTCAAATCACAAACCTGATTTAGCCTTTACATATTCTAAATAACAAACCCAATATAACCTTTTCATATTCTATATAACATACCTAATTTGGCCTTTTCATATCCTATATAATATACCTGATTTCGCCTATTCATATTTAAATCACATACCTGATTTGTCCTTTTCATTTTATATATAACATACCCGATCTCGCCATTTCATATTCTATATAACCTACTAGTGCCTGATTAAGCCTTTTCATTAAATCACATACCTGATTTAGCCTTTTCAAATTCAAACTGTTTTTGTTGAGGAGAACTTTCTACTTTGAGTCTTTTTATCTCCTACAACATAAAATATAATACAAATAATTGTGTTTTATTCATTAAATTTTCAAAAATGTCTATTGCATACAGTAATATTGGTATTTTCAGTCTATTTATTTACCATAGAGTGTCCCATTATACAGTAGAATTTCTACGAGACAAACTTCTATAAGTTGAATTTCTGGATGTGTTGAAGTCAAATGAAAGTCCTGATTTTTTTACCCATTATATTCTTTATAGACTAGATATCAAAAATGCAAATACCATTGAAAAAAATTTCACTCACAGATCAAACGAAGGACTCTGTGATGAATTCTTATGCAATGCACTTCAGATGTTCAGGTCAATTAAAAAAGCTTACATACCAACTGCGGGGTCAATCAAACTTATAGTCACCCAGTTATGCTCTGGACAAGATTATTAAGTAAGAAAATTAACAAAGGGCAATAACTCAACAAGAGCCTACACTGGGCAGGGGCAACAATCGACTTTTTTCTAAAGCAAACAAATAAACGGTTTTAACAAATCTCAAATTACCAAAAGATAAAGAAAACTAGAAATGTGTCCATATATGACACTGGTGCCACCACACTTTACTGTTTTGTCAATCTTATGACTCTAGAAAAGAAGAGGGCCAAGAATGACCTAGATCGCTCACCTGACCCAGCAAACTCATCCATCAATTACCTAGACAAGCACCCTGACCAAGTTTCATGACAGGTAAATCAAAAATGTGACCATTAGAGTGTTAACAAGGATTTTTCATATTTGAGCAGTTTGACCTAGTTTTTGACCCAACTTGATCCCTTCTTCAACCTTGACCTTGAAAACAAACATTCAGACCAATTTCAAGGATATTCATAGTTTGGATCAAAGCAGTAGCCACTAGAGTGTTAACAAGATTTTTTCTATTTTAAGTTCCTGTGACCTAGTTTTTCCTCAGAGATGACCTATGAACCAACTTATCTAAGCATTTACATAGAAAAACATCCTGACCAAGTTTGAAGATAATTGAGTCAAAAAGTGACCACTAGATTGTTAACAAGGTCGTTTCCATATTTGGGCGCTGTGACCTAGTTTTTGACCCCAGGTGACCCGTATTCGAACTTGACCTAAAATTGATAAAAGCAAACTTTCGTATTGGCTCGACAATTCAAAAAGTTGTCACAAGGGTGTTTTATTGAGTATTATCATGCTTATTACCTATGAATACATAAAATTGACCGAAAAGGAACAAAGGCTTGTTATTAAGATGTTTTATCAAGTAAATCACTGCTTAATTATTATGAATGCATAAAAATGACCCAAAAAAGGCACAAATTCTTCAGTAGTTATGGAGATAACAGCTTACAAGCAAAACTTTACCATAAATTTCTAAATTGAAAACGGGGAGAAAAATTAGCCTAAATGCAAGAAAGAATTATGGATCTTGGTCAGTGACCTACAACTATGATTCTAAATGCATATGTGAAGTTTTAAATAAAATCTTTAATAGTTATTGAGATATGTAAAACTTGCATGTAAACATTAACCAAGAGACTAAGTAGAAAAAGGGAGATGAATCAGCCTAAATGCGAGTAAAGTTATGGAACTTGGTCAGTGACATACAATTATGAGTCTCCAATTATGACCCTTAGAGTACATATAAAGTTTCAATTAAATATCTTTGAAGACTTTTAACCTTTAACCAAATTTCTAAGTTTTAAAGGGGAAAATAATTCTGCAAATATTGCAGGCAGAGATATGCAATTTTGCAAACTGATGTACATTGTTACTATAAACAAGAGGGCCATGATGGCCCTGAAGACGCTCACATGTATATAGGCCCCCGTAGCGGGGCCAGTTTAAACCCCAGGGCTTTTATTTTGACACCCATTAGAAGATGTTTCATGCTAAACATCTAAGGTCTAGCTGGTCAAGTTTTTTCTTTAAACATATACCAGTTAAAAACAATGACACACCTGGGGCAGGGCCAGTTTGGACTCCAGGGCTTTTATTTGAACAATCTTTGTAGACACTTACTAGAAAATGTTTCATGCTTAATATCTGAACTCTAGCTATTCGGATTTTTCGAAGAAGATTTTTAAGATTTTGCTATTAACATATAAGGAAAATCAATGTCCCCTGGGGCGGGGCCAATTTTGACCCCAGGGTTTTTATTTGAACAAACTTTGTAGACACTCACTAGAAGATGTTTCATGCTTAGTATCTAAACTCTAGCTATTTGGTTTTTTTCAAAGAAGATTTTTTAAGTTTTTGCTATACACATATAAGGAAAATCAATGACCTCCGGGGCGGGCCAATTTTGACCCCAGGGCTTTTATTTGAACAAACTTGGTAGACACTCACTAGAAGATGTTTCATGCTTAGTATCTAAACTCTAGCTATTTGTTTTTTTTTCAAAGAAGATTTTTTAAGTTTTTGCTATACGCATATAAGGAAAATCAATGACCCCCGGGACGGGGCCAATTTTGACCCCAGGGCTCTAATTTGAACAAACTTGGTAGACATCTATTAGAACATGTTTTATGCTAAATATCTTAGCTCTAGCTCTTTGGGTTCTTTAAAAGAAGATTTTTTACATGTTATAAGTTTTTACTATATGCATATAGGGAAAATCAATGACCCCCTGGGGTGGGGCCAATTTTGACCCCAGGGCTTTTATTTGAACAAACTTGGCAGACAACCATTAGAAGATGTTTCATGCTAAATTTCTTAGCTCTTGCTCTTTGGGTTCTTTAAAAGAAGATTGTTTAAGTTTTTACTATATGCATATAGGGAAAATCAATGACCCCCTGGGGTGGGGCCAATTTTGACCCCAGGGCTTTTATTTGAACAAACTTGGTAGACACTCACTAGAAGATGTTTCATGCCAAATATCTAAGCTCTTGCTCTTTGGGTTTTTAGAAGAAGATATTTAAAGTTTTTTTCTTTTGGTTGCCATGGCAACCAGAGTTCTGCATGGAATTAAATTCTTTGAACAATTTTCAAAGGTGACTACCAAAGGATCATTCCTGTGAAGTTTGGATGAAATTGGCTTAGTGGTTTATGAAGAGATGTCATTTAAAGTGAAAGTTTCAGACGCCGGACGGACGCCGGACGAAAAGCGATCACAAAAGCTCACCCTGTCACTTTGTGACAGGTGAGATGAAAAGTATTGTAAATTTTAAATTGAAGTTAAAAAGGGGCATAATTCTGTAACTATTGTAGGCAGAGTTATCCAACTTGTCAATCTGATGTACATTGTTACTATAAATAAGTATTGTAGGTTTCAATTGAATATCTCAAGCAATAATTGAAATATTTGACTTTACAAAAAACTTTAACCAAAATTTCTAAGTTAAAAGGGGCATAATTCTGTCAATATTGTAGGCAGAGTTATCCAACTTGTCAATCTGATATACATTGTTACTATAAATAAGTATTGTAAGATTCAATTGAATATCTCAAGCAATAATTGAGTTATTTGAATTTACAAAAAACATTTACTAACGCAGACGCCGATGCGGACGCCACGGCGACTACAATAGCTCTCATATTCTTCGAATAGTCAAGCTAAAAACAACAAGCAATTATCATAGTATTGCAAGCAATCCATAAGACCCCTACCGGATAGAACCCCATCAGCATTCTGAAGGGCCATTGGCCATTCACTAATGTGTAAATTTTTCTCTATTTTAAGTAAATTTGTTGGAAATGTTCTTTAAAAGTGATCACAGGAAAAAGTTTTTGTGAACAGACAGACAGACGAACTGAAGGACACTCTAAAGTTAATATTTGAAACATCCCTGTTATGAAAATATAACATTTTAAAAAGCAAAATTCTTAAAGAGGAGATAACTCTTTTTGACTAATCACAAATATTGTTATATTTGCCATGTTTTGTTGCCAAGGCAAACAATATTTTTTTCAAAATAGGGAGAACTGATAAGACCTGCATAATCTCAAGATTGCCATCTACCCATATGTCAAATTTCATAAAAATATTTCCAGTACTTTTTGAGTTATCACTGGATTCAGTTTATGTGTAAAATTTGCCATATTTTCAGTCTATGTGTTGCCATAGCAACCAGAATTTTCAACATAGGAAGAAAAGAAAAAGACGTGCATAATTTCCAGACTGCCATCTATACATATATCAAGTTTCATAAAAATATTTCCAGTACTTTTTGCGTTATCACTGGATCCACTTTATGTGTAAAATTTGCCATATTTTCAGCCTATTTGTTGCCATAGCAACCAAAATTTTCAACATAGGAAGAAAAGAAAAAGACGTGTATAATCTCCATACTGCCATCTATCCATATATCAAGTTTCATAAAAATATTTTCAGTACTTTTCAAGTTATCGCGGGATCCAGTTTTGTGGACGGACGGACTGACGGACTGACAGAAAGACGGACGGACAGACGGACGGACAGACAGACGGAGGGTAAACCTAAAGTCCCCTCCGGTAAACCGGTAGGGGACTAAAAACTAGAACTGTGTCCAAAGGACATGGATGCCCCCACTGACAACATTTATATGGAATATAGTGAAAAATCAACAAAGGGACATAATTCTGTTAAATTTGGTCGCAGCAAAAATTCCTTCATTTACTTCCATCTACATATTGAAGGTTGTTCATCCCTGAAATTTTTAAGCAAAATCTGTCATCCGGTTTAAGAGGAGTTGTGTTCACAAGATTTCGGGACATAGGGACAGACAGACGTACGTACGGACGAACAAACAAGTGCAACGCTATATGCTCCACACTTTGTGGGGGCATAAACATGTACCGGTTAATCAACCGGAAACAAACATTAACACATGAACCGGTATATCAAGTGGATACAGTAACACCTGTACCATATATCAACAGGAAACAAACAGTAACACATGTACCTGTAAATCAACCAGAAACAAACAATAATACACGTACAGTACTGGTATATCAACCAGAAACAAACAGAAACACAATGCACTGGTAAATATCAACCGGAAACACACAGTAATACAATGCACTGGTAAATCAACCGGAAACAAACAGTAATACAATGCACTTGTATATCAACCGGAAACCATACAGTAATACAATGCACTGGTATATATCAACCAGAAACAAACAGTAATACAATGCACTGGTATATCAACCAGAAACAAACAGTAATACAATGCACTGGTATATCAACCAGAAACAAACAGTAATACAATGCACTGGTATATCAACCAGAAACAAACAGTAATACAATGCACTGGTATATCAACCAGAAACAAACAGTAATACAATGCACTGGTATATCAACCGGAAACAAACAGTAATACAATGCACTGGTATATCAACCAGAAACAAACAGTAATACAATGCACTGGTATATCAACCGGAAACAAACAGTTATACAATGCACTGGTATATCAACCGGAAACAAACAGTAATACAATGCACTGGTATATCAACCAGAAACAAACAGTAATACAATGCACTGGTATATCAACCAGAAACAAACAGTAATACAATGCACGGGTATATCAACTGGAAACAAACAGTAATACAATGCACTGGTATATCAACCGGAAACAAACAGTAATACAATGCACTGGTGTATATCAACTGGAAACAAACAGTAATACAATGCACTGGTATATCAACCAGAAACAAACAGTTATACATGTACCGGTATATTAACCAGAAACAAACAGTATTACATGTACCGGTATATCAACCAGAAACAAGCAGTAAAACATGTACCAATATATCAACCAGAAACAAACAGTCATACATTGTTCTGGTATATCAAAGGGAAACAAACAATTGAACACATTCTACCTCTTTCTGCTCTGTCTCATGAACAGTAAATCTTCTTTTTAACTCTGTACGTTCTTTCTCAGCTTCCGACATCTGTGCTTTTAGTTCAGTTAATTTACTTGTGAGCACCTCAAATTCCTCTTTGGTTGCAGCATTTTCTGTTCTCATTTCTTCTTTGATTTGTGTCAGAATTTCTTCAAAGTCTTCAGTGGTGATAATGAATTCCTTCTTCTTCAGCTTATAACAAGAAACAATTTTCAAATGTAGCTGCTATGTGATTTATAATATTTATAACATATCATATATACGGTCAAACTATATTTTTCAAGATCATCTCAATGTTTCTTCAATCTTTTCTCTCATACTTTCTAATGACTTCTAAAATCTACTTTTAAGGTAGGATTTGTGGTCAGATTTTTCTATTTTTATTTCACATTTTTTATTCTTACCTAATGAAGACAGACATTTTACATATTTACATTTTGTAGATATTTTCTAATCTGGTTAATTTTATATTGTCATAAAATTTACCATGAATTTAGAGGTGAGCTTATTTTAATTATTATAGCTTAACTTAAGATTTCAACTTTATGATATATTATGTACACTTACATCTTGGAGTTTCCCGACAGCTTGTTGTGCATCTTGTTGATGTATAAGTTCTTTACCATCTTGTAGAACAGCTATCATGTCATCAATATAACAATTAGCCTTGCTCTCCTCTAACTCCATAGAGCTAGAGTGAAAAATCTCATTTCGGTACTGCCGTACCTAATATACAGAAAACAAGTAATACAACATTCACATAAATACAGTGTTCAGCAATGAGACTAAACACAAATTCTTAAGTTGAGAATTAAAACTGTAATAAAATAGTTTCTTTAAAATACTTACCATAATAATCATTATTATTATTGTGTTTAAACCGCAGATTATATAAAAGCAAATGAAAAAGAAATTGCTTTTCATAAATGTTATAATTATTTCACTGAAGTAATAGTATGTACGTGTTGCATTTGCTTATTAAAGGGACTAATCACTGAGGTTTTTTGACATGATGGGACTGAAAATATTTTTTCCAGATAATTGTACCATTTGATGTAGGTTTAGACCACTAATCTTTCTGCAAAATTAAAGATCATTCACGCACTTCGTTTTTCCAGAATAATTATTCAAATTGTAAGAAACTGACCAAAACTGAAAAGTGTTAAAACGCTTTTCACTCAAATTAGGCTAAGAAAAGCATAAAAATACGATTTTCAATTTATTTCAAAGTATATTTCTTAAATATCTTTGCATATATTACTATTTAAAGTGCCCCAGCTCATTTATGTAAGAATTTCAAATGTTATGTTTTTAGACTTTTAAACCTCAGTGGAGTCCCTTTAAGTACAAATAACCTCCTTCTTTACATTTAACAGTGAAGCTTAAAATAAAAAAAGTTTTTGTTTCCCGCCCACACAAATTACAGCTAGCTTGTATTGCAAACAAAATATTTGTGAGTAAGATTTTATGCATAACAATTTTAAATCATTACACATTTGTTGCAAATCGTTTTTCTGGCAAAATAACTGCATTAACCTCATAGTTATATGGACATAATTTCAGCGGTATGGGTTAATTCCTTTAAAAATTCAAAAAGGTAACTAAGGTAACAATATTCTCTTTTACTTTTATATATAATTAACAAACTAAATTTAAATATTACAGTAAACCTTAAAGCTGCATGCCTCCAGATGAGTAAAAATATTTCAATAATCAACTTTGAAAAATATGTACTTATATTTTTGAACAAGAGGGTCATGATGGCCCTGAAGTCGCTCACCTGTACATAGAAGTTTGAACCCTAGGGTTTTTATTTGAACAAACTTGGAAGACACTCTTTAGAAGATGTTTCATGATGTTAAGTGTTTACTACACACAAATAATGAAAAACAATGATCTGCCCCCCCCCCCTGGCAGGGCCAATTTTAACCCAAGGGCTTTTATTTGAACAAACTTGGTGGATACCCATAATAAGAAGTTTCATGCTAAACATCTTCATGTAAGCTCTAGCTCATTTGGTTTTTTAAAAGATGATTTTTTAAGTTTTTACAAATAGTTAAAAACAACGACAGCCTGGGGCGGGGCCAGTTTTGACCCCAGGGCTTTTATTTGAACAAACTTCGTAGACACTCACTAGAAGATGTTTCATGCCAAATATCTAAGCTCTTAGGGTTTTTTAAAAGAAGCTATTTGAAGTTTTTTCTTTCGGTTGCCATGGCAACCAGAGTTCTACATGGAATTAAATTCTTTGAACATTTTTTTACTTACTAGAAGATGTTTCATGCTTAATATCTAAACTCTAGCTGTTTTTTTCAAAGAAGATTTTTAAGTTTTTGCTATACACATATAAGGAAAATCAATGATCCCCCAGGCGGGGCCAATTTTGACCCCAGGGCTTTTATTTGAACAAACTTGGTAGACACCCATTAGAACATGTTTCATGCTAAATATCTTAACTCTAGCTCTTTGAGTTCTTTAAAAGAAGATTTTTTAAGGTTTTACTATATGCATATAGGGAAAATCAATGACCCCCTGGGGCGGGGCCAATTTTGACCCAAGGGCTTTTATTGAACAAACTTGGTAGACACCTATTAGAACATGTTTCATTCTAAATATCTTAGCTCTACCTCTTTGACATCTTTAAAAGAAGATTTTTTTAAGTTTTTACTATTTTCATATAGGGAAAATGATTGACCCACAGGGCGGGGCCAAATTTGACCCCAGGGCTTTTATTTGACAAACTTGGTAGACAATCATTAGAAGATGTTTCATGCTAAATATCTTAGCTCTAGCTCTTTGGGTTCTTTAAAAGAAATTTTTTTTAGTTTTTACTATATGCATAAAGGGAAAATCAATGACCCCCTGGGGCGGGGCCAATTTTGACCCCAGGGCTTTTATTGAACAAACTTCGTAGACACTCACTAGAAGATGTTTCATGCCAAATATCTAAGCTCTAGCTCTTAAGGGTTTTTTTTAAAAGAAGCTATTTGAAGTTTTTTCTTTCGATTGCCATGGCAACCAGAGTTCTGCATGGAATTAAATTCTTTGAACAATTTTTCAAGGTGACCACCAAAGAAACATTCCTGTGAAGTTTGGATGAAATTGGCTTAGTGGTTTTATGGAGATGTCACTTAAAGCAGGGCTCTCGATTGACAAGGGGATAAGGGTTTTGACTCGTGAAAATCGGGAAATGCACATATTTGACACGTGATAAAATCTGCTCAAGAGTCAATTTGCCACATGGGATTTTTAGCTATGCAATAATAATTACCTTAAATCCACCCCTAATTACCTATCAAATCCTACATATGTTCAAAGTACACTCACTAAAAATGTCAACAGGCAGTTTAAGCCATGTATAAAATGCTTTACACACGGCAATTGTTTATAGCCTGTGCACTGAAGCGCAACAATTCAGTGGCTGCAATTTGACAGCGCTAAAAATAGCTCAACACAACTGATAAGAATTACATGTAATAGTTATAGAATATATACGAGGACTTCACCGGCTGGTATCAGCGCATGGGGCGACAACAAGGGTCAATCATAGGAAATTAATCGAGACGGAACGTAGAGATTAATTTCCATGATTGACCCTTTTGTCGCCCCATGCGCTGATACCAGCCGGTGAAGTCCGAGTATTTATTCTGTAACTGTTTTATCGCATGACCATCTTCTCTCGTAATATTTTCTTTATTTAAACATATAAATATTTTAAGAAATATTCACAGAAATACACCATTAGATGTGAACTGGACATAAATACCCATTTAACGAGGTAAGTTGATGCATTTTTTCTACATGAAAATGCTACATGCGAAATAATAATCATCTTTTTAGCTCATTTTCAAAATATAATCAAGGAAATAGTGTCGATAAGTATCCCGGTGTATATTTTAGAGATATATCTTGTACGCGTATTTTTCAGAGGTAAGTATTTTTTGTGGAACTTGTAACTAGACACCAAATATTAAAAATTTGGAGAAATAAAAATGATAGCATTTCTGACGCATAATGTGCCTTTAACACTACTTCCATCTATTAATTATCGCATGACCACCACAACTTTCCTTTGAAGATCGGCGTTCTCTAAATTTCAGTATTGGAAAACTTTGGGGTGCTCTAAATGAGGTATCAGTACGCTTTGGGGTGCTCTAAATGAGGTATCAGTACACTTTCTCGTGCATGCCCAGTTTATTAAGGAAAGTTGTGGTGGTCATGCGATAAACTTGAGGTGTCAATTATTGATTGCTTTTAAAGGTTTATAATACGTCTTTGATTTATTGGAGTACCTGTGCATTTGTTATTTCTTTTTCCATTTAATATTCTTGGTACATTTTGGTATTTAAATTAATATGATATAGCATACCAGTAAAGATATTTTTTTTATATTTTATACATTTAATCAGAAAAGCTGCTGCTTATTTTATTCTTTCACAGCAATTTATTTTTTTGTTTTATTTGTTTTTTGGGTTTTTTTTATAGGTGGAGGGGGGTAGACATTTATAATTAGGCATTTTTTCCATCAATTTAGACTTTCGAATCTCCAAAAATGACCTCCAATACAGTCATTTTTGTAACATAAAAATGATTCATGTAGTCAAATGACACTAGAAAAATATGATTTGACTCATGAAAATTTTGGCCAAAGAGTCTTTGACTCGTGAAATTCTGACCCTACTGAGAGCCCTGCTTAAAGTAAAAGTTTACGGACGGACGCCGGCCGGACGGAAGCCGGACGAAAAGCGATCACAAAAGCTCACCCTGTCACTTTGTGACAGGTGAGCTAAAAAGTAAAACGATTCAAGATTCAAGTAATATTTTACATGTTATGTGCCATAAATGACTGATTTGTCAGTATTTACAACAGTTTTACTATATTTCTACTGCATTACTAATGCAGTAACGGCTATTTTTGCATATTTTGACCACTTTTTTTGTAATTTACTTGGGTTTTAAGTGCCACTGAAAATGTGTCAAGTGCCTCTTTTTAGTTATTTCTCAATATTGTACATTCAAATACATTATCAAAATATTCATGAAAATAAGCATGAAATGGAGGCGTGCTGCTTTAATATTTTACAAAATTTAAAATAAACATAATAATTATAGTATACAAATGTATTTACCTTTGAAAAAAGATTGTTTGGTCCTGCTAACATTGCATCCAATGTGACTATGAAAGTACTTGTTATTTATGATAACATGAAGCAACCCAGTGCAATCAGTGTCGACTGCTGATGTCTTGTCCTTGTACCCAAGAGCATTTATAAAACATTTGCAAACGTTCCACGGGTCTGTCGACCACTGTTGGGCATCACTATTTTTCCAAAAAGGTACTGGTGGCATTGATGCATGATACTGTATAATGCTGTCATAGATGGCACCACATACGTTGTTTGGACAGGGTCTCTTATTCTTAGGAAAACAACAGTTACATTTATCTTGATTGAGGGGACATATCCCTTTTGAGACTCGGATATGATCTGGCTGGAGAGTTGTTATCTGACAGGCGCCACATGGTACGTTTGGTTGAGGAGTCTTTGTTTGTTGTATTTTGTTAATAATATCGTTGTGCTGCTGTCTTCCAATGTCATCACAAAATGGCGCAAGTCCCTCTTTAAGATAACCCAAGCCTAGGCCAGCCTTAACCCACTGCCGGTATTTGTTATTCTTTAAATGTATCTCATGTGCCATCTTGATTTCTAAAACAAACAAAAAATATTTTTAGCTACAATTTGTAAGAATCCAAGGAAAACCATTATTAACTATGACTGATCACAAACACTTGTATGCCCTGAAAGCTGGCCCTAGTTAAGGGACCATGAACTTTGACTTACAATGAAGGCATTGCTACTATCACTAGAGGGCCGTATCGGCCCCAGATTGCTCATCTATGATTTGCTGTTAGAAACGGTCATCACATAATACAGAAGTAGATATTAATTGTTCCTCATTGAGCAGCCAAAATCAATTCAACCATTTCTACGTCTCAAGTAGAACTTGGAAGACATGTTAGACGTCATCTCGAGACATTTGTGTGTCTTTTTTTCTTTGGAATTATAAGCAAGGAAACTTTATAAACCATAAAAGAAATAAGAAACATATCTCAATATCAATTATAAATCTACTTTCCATAAATGTACAGTACAGCTTAAACAATTTACTAAAGTCCGTCAATCCCTGCGATTATTTTTCGGTTGGATTGTCACGGCAACGTCCCTGCTACATTATCACCTGATCGGGTGCAATTTGTGCTGCGGAATATCGTCACTGTTGATCACTGTGAAATATTGCAGGGACATTCCGCTCTCTTGGGTGACCAATGATCAATTTATTACACGCGGTAATTTACTAAAATACATATGTACGTCTGAAAAAAAATAACACACCCAGCATTTGTCTTCTTAAATTTCTAAAGGGCAGATAATTGCCCCCTGTTTTAAAAATTTTAAACTTTAACAAAAATTCATCACAGACTGTCAATATTCAATTGTGCGAAAATACACGAAAACACTCGCCAACAAAGTAGCATCAATAAATAAATGAGATATAATGTTTCCAACTTAAATAACATACGCAAAATTTACACACATGATGACCTCTGACAATTGACTAGTCTGCTCTTCAAAAGAATCTGCCAATCTTTGATGTTGACACATGTGTATTCCCTACCAAAGAAGTGCCGACACTTGGATCACAAAAAAATATCATCATTTTAATGTAAAGAAAATATATCTTTCTACAGGCATTCAAATAAAAAGAATAATTAAAATATACGAGTGACATTAAAAAGACCGAAATCGAGACAGCCACACGGGAGTTACGACTTTCCTGTTACGCTGATTGTCTACTTCTCTTTGTCTATATAATGTACCTCTACTTTTTTTTTTTCAAAAAAAAAAAAAATGGAGCTAAAAAACAAAAAAAGTAAATTCACAGCGGATTTCGTCAAGTTAATTTTATAATCGTCATTGCGGACAGATAGTCTGTATCTTAAACAAGAACTGTCGGAGGACAGTATTGGCTCGACTATTCGAAAAAGTTGTGACAAGGGTGTTTTTTAGTATAATAATGCTAATTACCTGTGAATACATAAAATTGACCAAAAAGGTACAAAGGCTTTTTATTAAGATGTTTTATCAAGTAAATCACTGCTTTATTACATTTGCATTATGAATGCATAAAACTACAATACGACTACAATAGCTCTCATATTCTTCGAATAGTCAAGCTAAAAAATAAATTAGATATTTGAATTAAACAAGTATTTTTCTTCAAAATAAACTTTAAATTTCCAAAATCGGATAATAAATGGAAAAGCTGTATGGTATTTTGTGAAGTAGGTATCCGTTGCGAACGGGCAATTACGCTTAGCACCGATAAATTATCGATCGATGTACCTTTATCGGGTGCGGGACAAGATATTTAAGCATTTATATAGGGTTAACTGAGAGTGTCAGATCCCTGTAATATAAATCTGTGGCCATACCACGTGACTTTTCGGGTACGGAGCACTCCGATTTTTCATCCGATTCAGGTAGGTTTTTTATTCACATCTTATTTATTACTCAACCGATTTTGATCAGATAAGGCGCAGAGTACCCATAATTATATCAGCTAGCCTACCCATGGTATATCAAAATTCTGAAAACCCCTGAATGGTTTTTGAGAACATTCGAGTACAGTTTTCTGCTCATAGCCGGGGCCGAGAGGAACGGTACACACTCATTTGTCATAAGAAGTGATTTCTAGCAAGACATATTTTTTTGTCACTATTTCGTAGAAAAATGTTAAATCTGATATATTTACTATGTCACTATGTTTACAATATCAGATGTGAATAACAAGTATTTTCTGTATCATATTGTTTAATAAAAAAATTCAATTTTAGCAGCGTTACTGTCTTATTATCTAACAAGCAATCGCATGTAATATCCCAACAATTGCAGGGCATTTTTTGTCAAAATTGTGAAGGGGCCTGGGCCTGTTCATTTTGTGAAAAGCGCGATATGCCATAAAATTGTGGGAAAAAAAAGGACATACTTCTTGGCATTTCGTGACATTTTAAAACCGGAAACAGTTGTTTATAATTTCTGACCTGTGTAAAATTTGCTTCAAGTCAGTACATTAACCTGGGTAAACATGCACAAAAACCATTTAACTTAATTCAAACTATAATATCTGTGTTATTGCAATTGGCATAAATCAAGTTTTTCCCCCGTAAGGTAAAGTATTTCGAAGACAAAGTCCTAATAATTTGTGAAATCTCTTGAAATTGTGAATTTTTTTCTGCCACTTTGTCTTATAACGACCCTAATGTTATAGAAGGAAAAAATGCCCTGAATGGTCAATTATCACCTGTATAATATCCAACTCAGTGTGGTTATTAATAATATCCTAAAAAATATTCTTAATCAATAAACTGCATTTAGTATTAGTACAGGTTAAAATTTGTTCCTTACGGTCCGCCCTGTCCCAAAATATGGTCCGCCCCGTCCGTAATTCATTAATGCATACACAGTGTATCTCGGGTTCTCTGGGACGCTTATTCGGCGTCCCGGTACGCATGTTTATTATAGCTGGACGCAAATATTTCAGAGCAAGGATTCCACTTACGCTTCATTTTGCCCGGGGACGCATAAACATTACCAATTGTTTACAACCACAAATACAAAAATGCGTCAGCGCGTGTCAGTCTATAGGTAGGCGGTCCTATGCACATCGACCCGTGAAGCATTTAGCCAATCAGCGATAATGCTTCCGATCATTATCACACAATAGTGATTAGACACGCGCTGTACAGTACATGTAATAACCAGATATAACACGAGGCGATAATTTTATATCTTTGATCAAAAGTTAATTGGAAATTAGCAAATTTTACCGAAAAAAGGATAAAATTATCGACTATTTACGCCGCAAGTTTAAAGACTGTTTTCTCAAATTACAAATGAGTGTAATTTTAAATGATTGTCGAATATTTTTGGCATTTTCTAGGCACAATTTTGCTTTAGTTTCATTCTATAAGAGTATTAAGAATTTAAGATATTGTGCCGAAATGCCAGGACAACAAATCAAAATACGTATACGCTTTTCTTTGATATTCTATCGGAACATCAGCGATTTCACGTTAGCCAGAAACCCTAACATTTCGCAAAAATTCTCGGTTTCCAAGCCAAACATGCGAATGAATTGTTCCTTTATTATTTAATTAACATTAAATCTTTAAATATCGATCTTCAATTTGCCCCCTTTTGAAGATACAGTCGACCCCGGTTATAACGAACTCAATGGGACATTAAAATATAGTTCGTTATATCCGAAGTTCGCTAAAAGCGGAGTAGCAACAACTTACTGACTTATTTGGGTGGGCAAATTTGCTGTGAAAAAGCCATACTCTTCACTGGTTACCGGTGTAACCGGTATTTAAGTGCAGCCGTTATTTAATGCGGGGCATTTAATTGAGCAATATAAATTATTATGTACATGGTACATATATTTATTCATGTATTAATTGTCTATGGAGTTCTTACCATTTGTTTTCTTTTGCTTTTTGTTTATTATCGTTTGGTTAATAATGCAAACACAAACTAGAAATGTGTCCATAGGACACGGGTGCCCCCACCGCGCCACTGTTCTGTCAATCTTTTTACTAAGTCAAGGGAAATAACTCTACAAATACTGGATAAATCCACAAGCGAAACCCCAGGTGCAAATCAAAATATGCTGAGCAACCTGCCCATAAGGTTTAATGACTATGTCAAATCCTTTTTGAGAAACTTGCGACACAAGTTGAAAATTGGAAAAATTTTCTAAGTGAAGGGCAATAACTCTAAAAATACTAAATAAATCCAGACAAAATTACCTGGTGCACAACTGCACATGCTGATCAATATTCCTGTAAAGTTACATGACTCTAGGTCAAATACTTTTTGAGTTACATGCAACATGTTGAAAATTGCAAAATTTTACTAAGTCAAGGGCAATAACTCTGAAAATACTAAAAAATATCCACACGAAAATACCCAGGTGCACAACTACACATGCTGATCAACATTCCTGTAAAGTTTCATGACTCTAGGTCAAATACTTTTTGAGTTATGTGCGACACAAGTTGAAAATTGCAAAATTTTACTAAGTCAAGGGCAATAACTCTGAAAATACTAAAAATATGCACACGAAAATACCCAGGTGCACAAATACACATGCTGATCAACATTCCTGTAAAGTTTCATGACTCTAGGTCAAATGCTTTTTGAGCTACATGCGACACAAGTTGAAAATTGCAAAATTTTACTAAGTCAAGGGCAATAACTCTGAAAATACTAAAAATATCCAGACGAAAATACCCAGGTGCACAACTACACTTGCTGATCAACATACCTGTAAAGTTTCATGACTCTAGGTCAAATACTTTTTGAGTTACATGCGACACAAGTTGAAAATTGCAAAACTTTACTAAGTCAAGGGCAATAACTCTGAAAATACTTAAAATATCCAGACGAAAATACCCAGGTGCACAACTACACATGCTGATCAACATTCCTGTAAAGTTTCATGACTCTAGGTTAAATACTTTTTGAGTTACGTGCGACACAAAATGTGAACGGACGGACGGAAGGACGGACGGAAGGACGGACTGAAGGACGGACGGACAGACGGACGGACGGACAAGGGTAAATCTAAATGCCCGCCACTAACG